TCTAACTCATTTTGTACCAAATTATACGTGTTTAAATTTGTAATATTTTAATGAGGTAAAATTAGCAAATAATAGCTATTCCATAACGTGTACAATTTGAAAATAGTGACATAACCATTACCTTTCTCAACACAGAAAAAAATCAGCTACCCTCAAAATTTCCTCGTTTTCCTATAACTCCTGCTTCCTCCACCTTCCCTTCTCACATCACGTCCAGAGTCAACTACTGCTTTTCTATATGTAACATTAGTTTTCATTTTATAGAGTTTATAAAAGTGGAATAGTACGTATGGACTTATATTTGTTTGTCTTATTTTACTCATTATATGTACTTGTGAATTTACCCTTGCTGTTGAGCGTATCCAGCAGTACCTGATTGTAACAGTGGGTGTTTTCCAGTGAATGAATTTACCACAATTTGTTTACTGATTCAGCTTCTGATTGATATTTGGATTGCTTTCAGTATCTGGGTATTGTTTTAAAAGCTGCTACTCATCTTAGAGAAGTACATAGCTGAGAAACACAACGTTCTTATTCTTACAGCAATATGAACAGCAGCTAAACTGAAAAAGCTGAAGTTTAATCAATTGTCTTCAATACATCAGGTAGTTGAAGTTACAGAATTGTGTGTGTGTGTGTGTGAGAGAGAGAGAGACAGAGAGAGAGACAGAGAGAGAGTTTGTGAGTGAGAGAGAAGGAGGGAAAAAGGGAGAAAGAAGTAAAAGAGATCCTACATAATTGACCATAATTTATGAGGAGCTCAAATAAATACAGGGACTCAGAGTCTTAATGGATAAGGTCCACATTACATGGAGAGGACGACTCGATGCACCTACATATGGTTATATATTTCTATAAATGCCATTTTCTAATAATACAAAGAATCACTACATGAGAACAAACATAGTGGAGGGTGTCCAGTGGTGAAATATGATGGTGATGCCAAACCCCATCTCCTGCACCTTCTCCCCGGGTTGCATCTGCCTTGATGTGTGTCCTGAGCGCCCCCTGGTGTCCTGAGCGTCTCCTGCTGTTCCCGAGGTTCCCTGCAGGGAGGTTTGTCTGGGCTCACAATGACGTCCCCTCGCTGTGTCTTTTGTGTAAAAATCCATGGTTGTGTACACGTTGCTCAGGGAGCTCAGCTGTAGGAAAAACTGTTTTTTGGATGTGGATCTGGAGATGGTGACTGGACTCTTGAGGAGTGGGTTGGATTGTGCACTCCCTCATGACCTGTGCACCTGATTCACTCCAGTCCCTTCCCTGGGGGGCTGATGATGCAGCTACAGCAGGAAGCACTGGTTGTGATGGAGAATGCAGACATGGCACAGGTGAGGGAGAGGGTCTGTGAGGGCTTCACCAGGCCACGAGTGCACCGGGAATCATAGTTGTCGGCATGCACAGGTTCTGAACAACATGCCGAAATTCACAAATAAGCACCTTTTGATGAAAATGAAGAACTCCCTGTGTGGATGAGGAGGAGGAGCTCCCTGTTTTGCAATTTGTGGGTCCCCAAGTGCAAATAGCAGATTCTGAAGTTAGAATTAGGCAAGTATATGGTCACATTTTTTCTTCAAACTTTCAACCAAATAAGAAAGACAAAGTGCTGACAGAAGAATGGGCATTGGGTTGTTAGCTCAATCTATGATAATGGCGATTTTTCAGAATCAGATTGACCTGTGATAGCCTAAAGTGTGTCGTAATCCCGAATCCACAATTAGACCTGAGCAGCAATCACAGGCAGTGGAGGTCTCCCTACATGAGGAAACATCTGACTGCACAGCTGCACATGGGGGTCTCTGCAGGCCCTTAGTTGTACAGGAACAGCTCCTCCCTCAGACTCAGAGTGAGGACAGGTTGTTCTTTATCTGGGGGAGGTGAAGGTGAGTGTGTGGAAAGAAGCAAACTCACTCTAATCAATATCTCTGTACTTGGAGAGAAACCAAAGTTTACAAGAAATTATGAACTTGGTGTAAAGTAGGAAATTACAATTGTTTGCAGGCTGCACTCTTGCTTCTTTATGTCATCTAAGAGAACCAAGGAAAATCATGTTTTCTTATGTACATATCCATAAACGGTATTTCCATCCTGATAACACACCTCCTATACCTCCAACATCAGGGAGCACCTGGACCAGGAACCCAGCACAGCTCTCTGACATCTATCACCCAGTTTTTGACAAAGAGACACATCCTGGAGCTCCTCCCAAACAATGACTGTGCACAGTGAAGATGCGAAGGTGTGGCTGTTGCTGGGCACATGGGGGATTCCTGATGGGAAACTATGCTCCAGGAGGAACCAATGGCCTTGATGGAATTAGCTTGGACCACACAGTTGTTAGGAAGCTCCATCAGAATCCCACCCTTCTCCAGCACTGGTTGTGAGATTGGCGTAGTGGGCTGACAGTGTCTACAGTCTCACCCGGCCTCCTGCGCACTTTTCTCCTCTTGCCTCTCCCCCAGACTCCATCACCTGCACCTCACACTAGACACCTACAAACTAGGGACATTTTGGTCAGAAACTGCCACATATAATCACTGTTTTTTCACTCACATCCACTCACACTCAATATTGCTAGTTCTCCATTTTTTTGCCTTTTAAAATAGTAACAAGAAAACCCAGCTCAGCCCTAACTCTATGGTGAGCCACGTGTGTTCAGAGCTGATCATCAAATCGAATCTCCAGGTAATGCTGGACTGGGGCTCTTCTCCCAGAGCTGCAGGGTCAGGGCTTTACTGGTTGTCATCAGGAGAGGGAGGGCCCTATTTTCACCTCCCCTCCTCTGTAGCAAATGCTCAGGTGGGACGCCTGAGGAGAGAGCAGAGCCCAGGGCCGATGTGAGACTCCTGGGGGAGTTTACTGTTGATGGCAGCATTTGGAATATATTATTTCCTGTTAGGTGATTTTCTCATTAAAATGATTAGCAATTATTATTTTATTTCTCTTTCACATATTTGAAACAATAGAAATATAACTACATTTATGAAACATTAAGACATATAAGAGGAGAAATAGAAAACAATAAAAAACTGAGGAGACTTCAACACCTCACCCTCAATAATGTATAGAACATCCACAGAAACATTCTTAGGAAGCCCGTGGACTCAAGCACTGTTGAACAAACTGACCTAATAGACATCTACAGAACATTCCAACCAACAGCAGTGTAACATGCATGCTTCGCAAGCACACTATAAATGTTCTTCATGATGGGGTATATGTTAGATAAAAAATGACTCTCAGCACTTAAAAAAGTAATGCCAATGATTCTCCAACTTTTTAAAAAATTTGTGAGGTGCCCACCTTCTAAACTCTTTCTAAGAGTCTCTAATCAGTGTATTATCAGTAATAGACAAAGGCAAAAGAAGAAAATCAAACTTCTGACAAATGCTCTCAGTATATATAAATAAACTACTCCCAAATCATAGTCAACTAAGTTCTATTAGACTTTAAAAGGATTCTGCACCATGACAAGCTCAAAGTTATTCTTGAGATGCACTGATGATTCAACATCTTCAAATCAATAAATTTGATGCGTTAAGAGAATAAAGGAAAAGAATCAACTTCTCACCACAGAAAATAACATATAAAAATTCAAGATTTCATGATAAAGCCTCTAAAAAGTAGAGATACAAGAATATAACCTGTACATAATAAAATTATTCATATTTAAAGCCATATTTTTATCATATGGAAGAGTAAAAGGTTAAAATATTTTGCAATAGTATCTGTAAAAAGGCAAAAAATAAACTTGGTGACACTTTACTTCCAGATTTCAAAAGCAATAACAAAAATAGAATAATAAAAATAGGATGGCATTGGCATAAATATGTAGAAAGAGCTCAGAAATAAACTGATATATCAATGGCAAACTGATTTTCAGCATGAGAACCGACAATATACAATGGATAAACCAAGTCTCTCCCTAAGAGTGTGTTAGGAAAGCTGGATCTACATATGCAAAGAATTAAGAATTTTAGATTAGAATATACACAAAAATCACTCTGAAGGGCTAAATATTTAAACATATGGTCTGCAATTGTAAAACTTCCCCCACCCAGAAAATATTAACAATGATTTCCTATATTTCACATTAAAGACACATAAAACAAAAGCAGAATTAAACAAGTGGAACTACATCAAAAGAAAAAGATTCTGCAAAGCATCCAAAAAATTCCAACCTACGGAATGGGAAAATACAATTGTAAGTCATGCATCTGAAAAAGGTTGATATCCAAAATATACATGCAACATCTGTAACTCATTAGCAAAATCATATTTGCCTGATTGGATAGTGATCAGTTTTTCACTTAAAAAATTTAAGAACATAGATCTCATGTTAAAGATTCTTCCCTCTGGGTAATGGTAAGTTCTATGGTACACTTGGTTAGGGTAGACTTTGTATTTATTCACTCCAACACTGTGAATTTTCTTAAGACAAGTAAAACGGGTGGGCCTGATTCCCTCAGAGCAGAACTGGAGAAAATGAAATTCCTTGGTGATTCAGCAGCTTAGCCTCTCTCTGGGACTTCCAGCCTGCACTTATTGATGGATGATCTTACGGACATTTTATATTCCCAGACATCTCCCAAAATGGTCATCCTCTATATCTCACAGAAAAGTGTCATGTCCTTCTGTAGCCTGTCAACCCTGAAAAACAGACAGAAAGAGACTCTAAAATATAATAATATTTATTGTAGGATGTGCACTGCAATTGAAATGTGTATGGGTGCATTCAGGTTGGTGTAGGAAGATAAAGAATAAAGGAAAAATGAGGAGGGTTACATCAGATGTTAAAGATAATTTTCCTGGGCTGGGATATCGGTGTAAAGTTGAACAGGCAGTTGCTGGGCAGATACACTGGGAGAAGTAATTCTTTTAATGTTGTGGTGGCCTTTGTGCAAGGTTACGGTTCTGCAGAGTCTCTTTTTGATAGTTCTTGTTATCAGGGATATGTGCGCTAGAACCCTCCTTCATGGCCTTCCCCAGCTTCATTCATTAGGGTTTTAACACAAGTGGCTCCATCTTCATTCTAGTGAATTTCACCAGCTCTTTCTACCACTACTTCTGAAGCAGATGACTCTGACAGTGTGCACGGAACAGGGTTAATTCCACATCTCATTTTGACCAAATAACTTTATCCCCTTCATTATTAACAGCCAGTTGCATTCCCAGATGAGTCTACACACAATACAGTAGAGGGTCCTGAGAAAATGGAGAGAGAAGGCAGTACCATCAGCCTCTCCCACGTGGCTGCAGGAGCCACAGGCTGAGCCCCACCTGAGCTCCAAGAAAATGCCTTGAGCCCTGGAATGTAGACCGTGGAGACCATTCTGTTTCTTTTTCAGGAAGCAGGAAAAGCAAATAAAAAAGGGAGAACAGACACTCCAAAGAAAGAACATGGATTGGGAGCAAAAGGAGCACCAGGTCAGTGCTGATACTGATTGGCTTTAGTGTCAGGAGAAGGGTCAGACGTGAAACCTGTGAGGTTCTACATGACACTATCCCTGGCCCAGCCTCTCTCTTGACTGTGATAAAAATTCATAGACTTCTAGTCAAGGGATCTCCTTGAGGTTTCTGTCTGGGTCTGATTGGAAAAGACTCACCAGGCACTGCTGAGTTTCCTCAGGAGTCTGATCCTTGATGACCATGGTTGAGCATTTTTCATCTCTGTAAGCATCAATCTGCATTTCTTGCATGCGAGAATAGGTCCTCATATTAAAAAGATCTTTTTAAAAACAAGTAGAGATGACATTAGTAAGCACAGCATTATAAGCTTAGAGAGGTTAACTAGAGAAACTGTGAGAAGATGAAGTCCCACATCCTGACAGGAAATCAGCCTCCATCTGCACTTGCCTCTGGGATTGACTCTGATCAGTGCGTCCTGAGTGCCCCCTGCAGCTGATTTTCCCTGAGCGTTTCTGCAGGGAGGTTTGTGTCTGGGCTCACACTGACTTCCCCTCACTGTGTCTCTGGCACAGTAATAGATGGCCGTGTCCTCGGCTCTCAGGCTGTTCATTTGCAGATACAGCATGTTCTTGGCATTGTCTCTGGAGATGGTGAATCGGCCCTTGACAGAGTCTGAGTAGTATGTGTTACTACTGCTACCACTAACACTTGAGACCCACTCCAGCCCCTTCCCTGGAGCCTGGCGGAACCAGTACATCCAGTAGTCACTGAAGGTGAATCCAGAGGCTGCACAGGAGAGTCTCAGGGACCAAGCCTCCCCCAGACTCCACCAGCTGCACCTCACACTGGACACCTGCAAACAAAAAGAAACCCTGGTCAGAAACTGCCACACATATCCAGTTTATCTCACTCTGATTCACTCACACTCAACTTTTTCTATTTCTCTATGTATTACCTTTTAAAATAGCAACAAGAAAAACCCAGCTCAGCCATGGCTCCATGGTGAGTCCTGTGTGTTCAGTCCTGATCACCAAATGAAAACACCTGAAAATGCCAGGTCTGGGTCTCCTCTCCCAGAGCTGCAGGGTCAAGGCTGGGCTGGTTTTCATAAGCAGAGGGAGGGCTCTATTTGCATGTCTCCTACTATATAGCAAGCTCTGGGGTGAGAGGTCTTTGGAGAGAGTGGGGCTCAGAGCATGTGAAAATGTCCTGGGGGAGATTTGTGATATTGATAACATTTTGGAAATTGTTGTTTCTTATTGTCAGTTTTTTCTGTAATAAAACCTTAAAATGTAATAAAAGTTATAATTTTGTAATTCCTTTTTAAAAACGTGTTGTATTGAGGTACAATAGATGTACATAAACTGCATGTATTTAAAGTTAGCACCAATCATCTTTTATTTTTACATATGCAGAGAAAACATGGTATGTTGTATCGATTTTATTTCCATGTTACAGATGAAAAATTACCAGCAAAATCACAGATGGTTTCTACCATGTCCCCAGAGCTCACATTTGGTCAGAGTGAGCCTGGGTATCTGGGCCTGTGCTTCTTACCACTGGATCCGACTTCAGGGTGTCGCACCTGGTGAAGTTTGCAGAACCTTTTCTCTGTAATGAGAACATGGTGTGATGTGTATGCACTGTTGTAATTGCCTATCAAATGTTAAGAAAAGCACATTTTCTACAGTTTTATTTCCTCAAGTGTCATACATTTCTCATGTGAGTGTCTTTCTATAAATCTTTATTGAACAAATTACCCACTCATTTGCCAAATGCTTATTGAGGCATTATTGCTATAAAATAAAATTTTAATAAGCACTGAAGCCGAGCATGGTGGTGCATGCCCGTAGTCCCAGCTACGTAGGGCAGACAGGGGAGGATTGCTGGAGACCCAGGTTCTGAGGTTGCAGAGAACTATGATCTCACCACTGAGCTCCAGCCTGGATGACAAAACAAGACCATGTCTCCAAAGGAAAAATAAATGTAATTTCACATGTGCCCACCTGTGCATCCAAAATAACAGTCAAGATAATGACGACTTACACTTAAAAGCTTCCCCCTATTTCTCTGCTTATTGCCTCCCAGTCATTTCCTTCTCACCATACTGAGTCAATCTCTCATCTTTGTTACTTCAGATATATTTTCTAAGATTTTGTTAAAGTGAAATCTTATAGTTTCCATATCATTTCTGTGGCTTCTTGCTCAGCATAATTACTTGTGAGTCAGTAATTTGGCTGTGTATAAACAATGTGTTGATTCTAATGAGGAACAGCATTTCAGTTAATGACTGCACCCCTACCATTTATTTATAAAGCTCCTAATATTTGTATGATTACCAGTTTCTGAGTATCAGTTAGCCTGGAGATGTAGGCATCCCAAAAATATATATATATATATTATTTTTAAAACAACAACTAACCTTACCGAGCTGCAAAATAGCACATTTTCTTTAGTAAGAAAGGTTAATGTTATAGGATGAAAAATAGACCTTACATTTTGAGAAAGTCAATGACTTGTCAGAATAAACAGGAAGAGAATATGACCTTATCTGGGGTAGAGGTAAGCAAATGTCATATAAGCTAATGCAGGACTAAATTAGACATATTCTTTAGATTGTTTAGAGTTGAGTATAATAAAGAGGTTATTGCTTAAATTCTCAGAAGACGTACGATTGAGGGGGATTCCTATCGCTATTGAAAACTTTTCTCCCAGGATTGAGGACACATCACAAAAATCTCCACCCTCTTTCTCCCAAGATGGTTCTGTGTGAGAAAGTGGAACAGCAGCTGTGGCTGAAATGTATCCAGACCCACCTCCCCTGCCACCACGACTTTACCAAAGAATTAACACGCAGGGGCAAAACCACTAACATCTCTGTGTTACTGGCACTGGAGGAACTCATAGAAACTGGGACAGAAGAAATAAAAGCTCAAAAGTTCTGTCCATTCTCTCAGGAATAACAGCCTCATCTCCCATCTCCTCTTTCTTCCCTTGTTAATAACAGTCTCATCCTGCTGGGAAGGGCAGAAAAGAGGAAGCTGAGGACATCAGTGGGAAGACATAGTGGTTGCTGGAAGAAGATCTGGGAAAAAACAAGGAGACCCTCTACCCAGGAATGGGAGGAAGATGCCTGGATCAGCATTGCACTTGCAGGAGTGGCAGAGATACTTGGAAGGACACACCCTGAGCCAGGACTGCGATGTCTGCCTATAGTATGGCTCCCTAAGAAGGACAGAAAGTGCCCGTTCAGTGCAACCCTTCCCACCATATTGACAATTGTCAGGTCCATGTGGCTTTGGGATGAGCTGGGGAATCTGGAAGACAGAGTCTTGCTGGATAGCACAAGATTAAGACCCAAAGGCAAGCAGGAAACAAGATTAAGTTGTCACTGGAGGAATCTGAGTGTCTGGTGACTGCAGAGGAAACGCAGTTCAATTCTGGCAGCCACTGCGACAATGACTTTCAAATTTGTAGCCCTGACTAGTTTCACACAATTTTCTACAATAAAGCCCTAGAAAAGATAATGTATGATCATCTACAAAAAATGAAGAAATCATAAACCAAATAATTAGCTGATATAAGGAATCTAAGTGTCTGTGGAACATAAATTTTGAAATAACTGCATAAATACTTTGAAACATTTACATTTGATTCCATAGTTCATCTCTGTGTACCTTCATAAGAAATTGCCAACAAGTGTTTATTTTTAATAACTAATACTTTTTTACTATTATGCTTGTGAATATAACCACCATCACACAGTAGGTTCTATTAGAACTACTGATAAAAAATCAACTTTGGAATTTTTTTTTTTTTGGAGACAAGGGTTTTGCTCTTGTTGCCCAGGTTGGAGTGCAATGGCATGATCTCGGTTCACTGCAACCTCCACCTCCTAGGTTCAAGCCATTCTCCTGCCTCAGCCTCCTGAGTAGCTTGGATTACAGTCATGCACCACCATGCCCAGCTAATTTTGTACTTTTAGTAGAGACAGGGTTTCTCCATGTTGGTCAGGCTGACCTCGAACTCCCAACCTCAGGTTATCTTCCAGTCTCGGCCTTTCAAATGGAAAATTCTTAGATTTATTATGGGCCAAATGTGAGGCCCATGCCCTGTGACACAGCCCCACAAGATCTTGAGAACATATGCCCAAAGTGGTTTGATTGCAGCTTAAATTTAATGTCCTAGAGAGACAGACGTCAATCAATACATGTGAGATATATGTTGATTTGCTCCATAAAGACAAGACAGCTAGAAGGGAGGCAGTGTGGGGAGGGGATTACAGCTTATAGCTGGATTCAAAGATTTTCTGATTGGCAATTGATTGAAAGACTTAAGTTTTTATCTAAAGACCTGGAAAAAAAAGTATCTGGGTTAAGATAACTGGTTTTAGAGAACAAGATACTTCTTATGAGGATGAAGCCTCTTATGTGGCCACCCTTAGAGGGAATAGATGGAAAATGTTTTCTATTAAGCCATTTAAGAGATTCTAGACTCTCAGCTAATCTCCTCAGTATAACAAAAATACCAGGAAAGGGAAGGAGACTGTCTATAAAATGTAAATTTCTCTCACAAAAGATAACTGTGAAAGACAATTTTAAAATATGTCAAAGAAATATATTTTAGGGTAAAAGACTTTGATTCCTTTCCAAGCCTGTTACCTGTCATGTGATGCTATTCTTGAGTCAGGTTGGAATTTGGTATCTTACTGCTACTACGGATCTGTTTTCTGAGGTTTAAGGTTGGTTTTAATGAAAATGCTGGTTAGTTGTTCTTGAATTCCAAAGGGAGGACGGTATGAGGCATTTCTGATCTTCCCTTTCTAACATGGCGTGAACTAGGTTTTCAAGTCTCTGGAACTCTTTTTTGAAGAGAAAGGGTCCATCCAGTCAGTTGGGGTGCTTGGAATTCTACTTTTCATTCATAGGACATATATGAGACTTATTCTAGACAGGGGTATGAGAAAATATTTACTGTGGTAATCACATTGAAGTTGAGAGTTGAAAGATGACACCAGATTCCTCCCTGCAAACTTTTCCACCTGACAGTAGAAGAAGAAAACTTACCAGGAACAAATGTTAACATTTCTTGTGTGTTCAAAATAGCCACCCGTTAGGAAAATAATTAAACTTGGGGGACTTCTCTTTAGAAGCAAGTAGTCTAGCTGATTTCTAAAGTCCTTTACAAACCCAAAGACTCTGATTCGTTTACAGATTATGCAGAACATCTCATCTAATGGGAATCTGCAATTAGCTGGATTCCTCTGCATTTGTTTTTTTTTATGTTTAGTTCATATAGATACACAATAGTTCAAAACCTTTATGTGGTATATGTGATATTTTGATAAAAGAATATTATGGCAGTGATCAAATCTGGACAACTGGGATATCCTTCATCTGAATAATTGATTATTTCTTTGTGTTAGGAACATTCTAAATTTGATCCTCTAGCTATTCTGAAACCCACATTAAATTATTAACTGTAGTGGTCTATGTGCCATTTTAGTATTCCCACCAGCAAGGGGTGAAAGCTCCTAATTTTCAGCTTCTTGATCAGCATTTGGTACTGTCTATATTGTGTATTTTACCCATTCTGATAGGTTAGCAGTATTTTTGAATAGTGAACATTCATATACCTAATGTAAATCAAGCTGATCACATTTTTATATTTGTTTTTAGATGTGGTTTCAATTCAGGACTTTACCTATTTTAAAATTAAATTATGTGGTTTTGTTGTTCAATTCTAAGGTAATTTGTATATTTGTGATAAAAGTCCCTTTCCAAACATTTGATCTGCAAGGAAATTCTCCAAATATATGGCTTATATTTTTACTGCCATGTAAGGGTTTATTTTCAAAGGCCTAAGCTTGCTGGATTAATCCGTGGCCATAGGATTATGAAACACCTTTCTCTCCACACCCTACAATGATATTACTAAAGGCCTCTTTACAGCAGTTTCTGTCACCTTTACATAATTTCTGGCTAAAAAAATATCATGAGTC